CCTCTGCAGTGAATGGGTGCCGTCAGAATGAGAGTCCAAACAGCTAAAAGGCCGGAACACTCCAAGCCGATGGTATTTTATATACTATATAATATTTTCATAACAACATGTTATTCATAATGACATAACAATTCAAATTCAAAAAATTATCAACATTTTATTCAAAATGGTAAGCAAGCACTGCTTTATGTTTTGTATGTCTGCGTATATCTGCTTATGTCTTGTATATTGTTTCTGTTTCTCCTTTTGAATGATGAATCTATACTATTGATAGCTGCTGATATAGACAGTTAACTCCTCTCATGCAGGCACAAAAGGCACGTGCTAGTTTGCAATCGGCTGTAGTCTGTTCAAGTGCAGCGTTTTGGTCCAGACACAGCTGATGTGAGGCAACGACATTGGCTTTCGTCGTCACTAATTTTTTGAAGTCGGCTTGTTGTGTCCTGGCATTGATAAAAACTTCAAAATAATTCACAAGTAATCCACACGACTCCAATCCATCAATTAACATCTTGTGAAGCGAAAAGATGTGTTTGATGGAAACAAATCCATCAAGTCGTTTTTAAATTCAAATCGTTGCTTCTGGCTAAAATATGAGTCCTCGATCCATAATTTTGCCTTCTCTGGTGAAAATGTCGTCTCGTCTGAGTGAAATCGGCACAGATCAAGCACCGTTTACAAACGAAAACTGTCCAAAACCGTTCCAAACAAATATGCGAGTGGATTTTAATGTAAAAGTACAAGAGGGGATGGACTTTTTCACTGGAGGAAGCGTTATTATGGATTATGGACTCAAATTTTGGCCAGAAGCAACGGTTTAGAGTTGAAACACCTTAAAGGGTTAGTTCACCCAAAAATGAAAATTAGCCTGCGTTTTACTCACCCCCGAGGCATCCGAGGTGTATATGACTTTCTTCTTTCAAACGAATCCAGTCGGAGTTATATTAAAAATTGTCTTTGATCTTTCAAGCTGTATAATGGCACTCAGCGGGTGTTGCATGCATCAGTCCAAAAGAAGTTAAATAAAAAGTGCCAATCCATAAAAAAAAAAGAGTCTCACACAGCTCCGGGGGGTGAACAAAGTCCTCCTGTAGCAAATCGATGCGTTTTTGTTAGAAAAATATCCATATTCAAAACTTAATAATCACTTTAATGTAGCTTGCGCTAACATTTGTACACGGAAGCAGGTCCGGGCGCATGCGCCGGTGAGTCTCGTGAAAACCAACGTTTGTTAACAGGAGCAAAGGAAGCAAAGTTTCCTTACTTTAGCAAAGAAAAACCAGTCTCCTCTTGGCTTATATCGAAATCCTTCAACATTCTTCTTTACAAATCCTCGTTTACAACAGTGAGCGCAAGCTAGATTCAAGTGATTATTAACTTTTGAATATGGATATTTGTCTTACAAAAACGCATCAGCAACGCTACAGGAGGCCTTTGTTCACCCTCCGGAGCCGTGTGAGACACTTTTTTTTTTATTTTTATTTTTATTTATTTTTTTTTTCAAGGATGGGCGATTTTTATTTAAGTTCTTTTGGACTGAAGCAATGCAACACCCGCTGAGTGCCATTAAACAGCTTGAAAGATCAAATACAATTTTTTATATAACTCTGACTGGATTCGTCTGAGAGAAGAAAGTCATATACACCTAGGATGCCTCGGGGGTGAGTAAAACACAGCCTAATTTTCATTTTTGGGTGAACTAACCCTTTAATGATGGATTTGTTTCTTACAAACATACAGCTTTTTTCTTCACAAGGTGTTAACTGATGGAGTGGTGTGGATTATTGTGATGTTTTTATCAGCTGTTTGGACTCTCATTCTGACGGCACCCATTCACTGCGGAGCATCCACTGGTGAGCAAGTGATGTAATGCTACATTTCTCCAAATCTGATCTGATTAAGAAACAAACTCATTTACATCTTGAATGGCCTGAGGGTGAGTACATTTTAAGCAGGATTTTTTTTCCTTTAAGAAAAACGATCCCTGTGTGCAAACACATTGCCCATGCTACTGAACACTGGGGAAATTGGATATTGGTGTTTAGGGTTAGATCAGGTGATACTCCCATAGTATTCAAGGTATGTCCCTCTTCACTCCCTGGATATGAAGTCAGGAGCTTGTGCATCTCCAACCACTAATTATTCACGACTCACAGGATGCAGTCTGCTCCTTCAACCATACGTTAATCTGTCTGAGCAACCACCATTTATTTTAATTACCTCTCTCGTGCGCTTCTTTTCTATGGTAACTGATTTTCAGTCTGCTGTTAACACCATGTGTGTGCAGATACATGCAGTATGGCACTTATTTAAGATTTACCAAAACATATGCACTCCACAGCTGGTTCTTCCTCTCCAAGTGCTCCTCTGTCTCCCGGGCCCCGGTCTCTCTCCTGTCCCCCAACAGCAGCCCTCAGGTTGGAGATGGGACCACGTGCGGGCAGACACTCTCCTCTGTCTGAGAGCGTGGGCTTCATGGAAATGTGCCTGACAGGGTGCAAAGCAGAGCTCCTGGCTTCTACCTTAAACATGCTGGGACCCTTCCTGGAGGATGAGCTCAGCGCAGACCCCCAGCCAATGAGACTGTGGTTACGGGACACTGCTATTACACTAAAGGTGAGAATGAGGGTCAAATGATGCCCACACTCTCTCATCCTAATCCGAGCTAATGGAAGACTAGTCATTCTCTTTGATAGATTATCAGTTATGTGTTTAGTGACAGTGACTGCAAAATGTTGTAGCATTAAAGCATTTCACTAAGTAAGACAAGACAAAGGCAGTGAAAAATGTTTTCTGCTCACTGTTTTCTCCGTTTCTGACAGGATGATGGTCCTCGTGTCTACCCGACCGCTCCTCAATCAGTTCCTGTGCTCTTCTCTCTGGACGGCATTGTTTTGGAGCGTATGGATGATGGAATCCTCAGCTTGAGACGTGAGTCCTTTGGGTTTGAGTTACAGCAGCTGCTCAGATTACAGGAAATCTGTGCTGTCACCTGTTAAACTAACGTTTGCTTCCTCTGTTTCACTTTTACGCACGCAGCTGCGCAGAGCCAGTCAGGGATTGAGTCAGAAGGGGACAAAGATAGAGCTGGCCAATCCTGCTCTAGAGCTGAGGAGAAGAACAAGGTATGATATATTAGAAAATGATCATACGCAATGCAATGTTGCATTATTTAATGTGTTTAGCCTGTTTCAGTTTGGTTTTAGATGTTAAATGAAACTTCTGCCTCTATTGTAGTTTTCAAATCCCATTTTCACTCACATTTAATGTTCAAGATGCCTGATGTCATAGAAAAATGAAAGAAGGAATGACTTCTGACATTGTTGACATTAAACCTATTATGACGCATCTTGACACACCATATTTTAATTATACACAAGCGTGAATGAGCTTTGTATGGTAGCCCATATTCGCCATGTAAGAAAAAAAATTATGCTTTGGTAAATGCATACCAATGCATTTTGGCTTTGGACACAAGTCAAAATTCAGAGATGGAACTTGAAATTTAAATAATAAATATAGAAGTGGAAATTATGAGATACTAGTCGAAATTGAGATAAAAAGGCAAATTAATTGACAAAATAAAATTGAAATATTTGTCATTATGTTTGACTTTTTAGCTCATAATTTCACCTTTTTGTAATATCAACTATCATAATTGACTTAAGTCATTTTCAACTTTTTTGGCATAATTATGTTTGTCATTAATTTCGACTTGTCATTGTTTTTGTCAATTTCAACATGTCATAATTATGACTTATCTCATAATGTTGACCTTGTCATTTCTCTTTTTACTTTTTCATTTTAATTTTCTCATAATTATGACTTGATAATCTCCGTTTCGAACTTTTATCTCATAACTGACTTAGCATCTTATAATTTAAAATGGTCATAGTTGTGCTTTTTATGCCATAATTATGTGGCCTTTTTATGTGGCCAAAATGGGCTTGCATAAGTTTTTAGGGCATTTTGTGTGTGTGTGTGTGTGTGTGTGTGTGTGTGTGTGAGTGTCTGTGTGTGTGTTCTTGTCAGAGAAATAAACATTTTGTTGTAGACACTTGCCTCTGCTGACTTAAAGTTCTCATCCATCCCTTTCTGACGTCTGAGAGTGAAATCACATGTCATCCAGTTCTCTTCAGTCTCTGCGAGTGTCCTCCATGAGTCTTCCTGTAGTGACGCTTCTCTTTCTACTCTACACCAATTCACCAAGTTCCCAGTTGGAGGAGGACTGAAGTCAACAGTGAAACGGATGCTCACTTTACATCTCAGATCAGTTTCCTGTGAGGTTCCCTAACTGTTAAGATGCTGCCTGAAGGAAACGGCTAGGTTTCGGAACAGAGCTGTTGATTTGATTTTTTATTGGCTGCTATTCAGCGTGTAAAGTACAGCCGATGTGTGTGTGTTATTCATGAAAGGAGCTGAAGCAAAAGCACTTTGACGTAAATGCGCTGTATAGATCACAGTTTTTATCTGAGGTTCAGTGTACAAGTTACTACCCAGAAGGTTGGGTTAAACATTTAACCCAACCGCTGGGTCAAAACAACCCAATTGGTGGGTTTGTCCCTATTTTACCCAGCACTGGGTTGTATTTAACCCAGTATTTTTTAGAGTGTACTGTCAACAATTATCTCTATTTCATCAAAGGGATCTTTAGAGAAAATTCTTATATTAAAGCATGTCTTTGCATAAATATGGATTCAGGTGGACACCTGATACAGTTTGCATTTTCATGCGTCATATCCAGAGTAAAGCCGGATATGTGGTTTGTCTCAGAGCAGAATGTTTTGTGCAGCAGATACAATGTAAGATTGTACGATTATCAGGTTTATGGGAAGTTGTGAATTGTTGAGTTGTGCTTGGTTATCTGATGTCTGTAATGGTACGTGTTCATCACTGTTCATGTCCCTCAAGACCTACTATGGTTGAAATTCGTGGGTTTAGTTTGACCTCTAATCTCTTCATTACCATATTCTAATGTAAATTCCCATTTCTGTCACCACCATTAAAGTCCTCGAACAAACTAATATTTAGTTGGTTCTGTGAACCATAACTGTGTGCAAATGTCAAGACCAATGATGATCAATAAAATGTTTCTTAAAATTGAACTTTGTGTATCTTCTGTGAGTTACTTTCTCTAACATCACACTTATTCAACTGAGAAAAGAACAATATAGTAGTTTTATAAGCTAGAAGAAAAAATCTGAATAAATGTCCGAAACAGTAATTCTGCTGTAGAGAAATGGAAGTTAAGTTAATGTTGAGTAACTTATTTTTAGATACAATCTTGCCAATTCTGCTTCGCCAACAAGAATGGGTGATGCTATAGAGCTGCCGCAAAAATGGAAGTTCAATGACAAATTTCTAAAAATGGCTGCACACTTGTTTCTCTGACACATAAGGTCTATATCATTGTAAGAGTCACTGAAACATCTGAACACTAGCCTGAAACCGGACCGATAACAACACTGGGGCTTCCACAGACGGTCTATATACATTGGTTGTGGGGATTTTTCTGCAGGTAACATCATTACAAGTGGCTGTTTATGAGTGAGTCATTGAATCATTCATTTAACCAATTCATTGAAAACGCTCATTCATTCTGTAACGAAACCCTGCTACTTTACCGCTTTTCCACTAAGGCTGGTGCTGGAGCTGGAGCCGGTGCTCGGCCAAGAGTGGCACTTGTTCAGATCCAGCATGGCTGTTGGAACTAGCCCCCCCCGCCTAATTTTTGTAATAGTTTTGTGGTTAATTCTTTATTAAACTGACCAGAAATATATAGCCCAGTGCGGATGTATTTTTCTTGCGCGATATTACTGTAATTTTACATTCCGACTTGTAAAAGCCATTCACGTCCTCGTCCTTTTTATGAGCCATTTTCTGAAGCTTCTCAAGCTTCTCGCTTCTCAAGATGGCCAACGTCAATCACATAAGCACATCTCTTTAATAGCGCTCTAGTCTCTGGATAAATGCGCTCAAACCACTTTAGCCTCATGCAATCTATTAACTACGCACATCATAACGTTTTAGGCAAGTAGGCCTACCATATTATGACATAAAATATTTTAATAAAACTGACTTTGTATTTAACCTGATCACGTTTAATAAAAATACATTTGTAAGTTTAATTATAACACTGCATGTTCATGATTATTCAAACAACGGACAAATAATACAGCAAGCAAAGAACATTTACATTATCAAAGAATATCACTGAATTCAGTCTAGCGTGAGTGTAAGCACTCTAAAAAAGCTATGTTATAATCGATGTTGTCTGCAGTGTATGGTGAATTAATCTCTTATTTACATCACATGTACATCTGCACTTTGTTGTTTCTGATGAGCGATTTCGTCAAAGTGCACTGACCAAAAATTTTGAATATCAGCGATGTTAATATTTAGTGAAATCCCCTTAAAGGCACAATATGTAATTTTCGCCGCTACAGGGCGCGTATTCAAAATAACAAAATAGACAAAGGCATGGTTTGATGACGCAGTGACTGAGTGTGGAATCATGGGAGTTGTGGTCTTCATCCCCACGGCCGATGCAATCCGACGGGACTCGGGCAGAAATCATGTTCATGGATGAGCTAATGATTTATTAACGTTGTAGAATGAAGCCGGGCAAGGCTGAAAGCCGTTGAAGCGAAATGAGGCCGCTGAACGAGCGTGACACACGGTTCGAAAGCAGCGGAGCTTTTATTATGCCACAGTCGACCGCTTCCGCTCCTTCCGGTCGTGCGTATGTGGGGGAAAGCAGCGGAGTTTTTATTATGCCACAGTCGACCGCTTCCGCTCCTTCCGGTCGTGCGTATGTGGGGGAAAGCAGCGGAGTTTTTATTATGCCACAGTCGACCGCTTCCGCTCCTTCCGGTCGTGCGTATGTGGGGGAAAGCAGCGGAGTTTTTATTATGCCACAGTCGACCGCTTCCGCTCCTTCCGGTCGTGCGTATGTGGGGGAAAGCAGCGGAGTTTTTATTATGCCACAGTCGACCGCTTCCGCTCCTTCCGGTCGTGCGTATGTGGGGGAAAGCAGCGGAGTTTTTATTATGCCACAGTCGACCGCTTCCGCTCCTTCCGGTCGTGCGTATGTGGGGGAAAGCAGCGGAGTTTTTATTATGCCACAGTCGACCGCTTCCGCTCCTTCCGGTCGTGCGTATGTGGGGGAAAGCAGCGGAGTTTTTATTATGCCACAGTCGACCGCTTCCGCTCCTTCCGGTCGTGCGTATGTGGGGGAAAGCAGCGGAGTTTTTATTATGCCACAGTCGACCGCTTCCGCTCCTTCCGGTCGTGCGTATGTGGGGGAAAGCAGCGGAGTTTTTATTATGCCACAGTCGACCGCTTCCGCTCCTTCCGGTCGTGCGTATGTGGGGGAAAGCAGCGGAGTTTTTATTATGCCACAGTCGACCGCTTCCGCTCCTTCCGGTCGTGCGTATGTGGGGGAAAGCAGCGGAGTTTTTATTATGCCACAGTCGACCGCTTCCGCTCCTTCCGGTCGTGCGTATGTGGGGGAAAGCAGCGGAGTTTTTATTATGCCACAGTCGACCGCTTCCGCTCCTTCCGGTCGTGCGTATGTGGGGGAAAGCAGCGGAGTTTTTATTATGCCACAGTCGACCGCTTCCGCTCCTTCCGGTCGTGCGTATGTGGGGGAAAGCAGCGGAGTTTTTATTATGCCACAGTCGACCGCTTCCGCTCCTTCCGGTCGTGCGTATGTGGGGGAAAGCAGCGGAGTTTTTATTATGCCACAGTCGACCGCTTCCGCTCCTTCCGGTCGTGCGTATGTGGGGGAAAGCAGCGGAGTTTTTATTATGCCACAGTCGACCGCTTCCGCTCCTTCCGGTCGTGCGTATGTGGGGGAAAGCAGCGGAGTTTTTATTATGCCACAGTCGACCGCTTCCGCTCCTTCCGGTCGTGCGTATGTGGGGGAAAGCAGCGGAGTTTTTATTATGCCACAGTCGACCGCTTCCGCTCCTTCCGGTCGTGCGTATGTGGGGGAAAGCAGCGGAGTTTTTATTATGCCACAGTCGACCGCTTCCGCTCCTTCCGGTCGTGCGTATGTGGGGGAAAGCAGCGGAGTTTTTATTATGCCACAGTCGACCGCTTCCGCTCCTTCCGGTCGTGCGTATGTGGGGGAAAGCAGCGGAGTTTTTATTATGCCACAGTCGACCGCTTCCGCTCCTTCCGGTCGTGCGTATGTGGGGGAAAGCAGCGGAGTTTTTATTATGCCACAGTCGACCGCTTCCGCTCCTTCCGGTCGTGCGTATGTGGGGGAAAGCAGCGGAGTTTTTATTATGCCACAGTCGACCGCTTCCGCTCCTTCCGGTCGTGCGTATGTGGGGGAAAGCAGCGGAGTTTTTATTATGCCACAGTCGACCGCTTCCGCTCCTTCCGGTCGTGCGTATGTGGGGGAAAGCAGCGGAGTTTTTATTATGCCACAGTCGACCGCTTCCGCTCCTTCCGGTCGTGCGTATGTGGGGGAAAGCAGCGGAGTTTTTATTATGCCACAGTCGACCGCTTCCGCTCCTTCCGGTCGTGCGTATGTGGGGGAAAGCAGCGGAGTTTTTATTATGCCACAGTCGACCGCTTCCGCTCCTTCCGGTCGTGCGTATGTGGGGGAAAGCAGCGGAGTTTTTATTATGCCACAGTCGACCGCTTCCGCTCCTTCCGGTCGTGCGTATGTGGGGGAAAGCAGCGGAGTTTTTATTATGCCACAGTCGACCGCTTCCGCTCCTTCCGGTCGTGCGTATGTGGGGTAAAGCAGCACTGTTTTATCATACTAGATAAAGTTCTGTTATAACGCACCTGTTCTATTAAAACGCACAACATATTAAAGCGTTTTTGGTGTTTCCATGTTTTCCACAACACAAAACCGGAAATCGAGGGCTTATGATGTAATTGTATGTGGGGTAAAGCAGCGGAGCTTTTATTATGCCACAGTCGACCGCTTCCGCTGCTTCCGGTCGTGTGTATGTGGGGTAAAGCAGCACTGTTTTATCATACTAGATAAAGTTCTGTTATAATGCTACTCTGTGTGGTCGTCACCTGTTCTATTAAAACGCACAACATATTAAAGCGTTTTTGGTGTTTCCATGTTTTCTACAAAACCGGAAATCGAGGGGTTATGACATCATTGGCAGGCGACACAATGACACTATGGACACGGACCGTGTCACGAGTTAAAATTGCTTATTTCTCTGGATTTAAACATTCTTCGAAACATTTGGGATAATGTAAGTACACAAGTCAGCAAAATATATAACACGGTTCTAGTGGTTTTTGGATATTTTAATAAAAAAATCTTACATATTGTGCCTTTAAGTGCAATTTGTAATCATGTCAATTTAAAAGTTTTAAAGTACATTTTAAATCATTATTTTAAAAATCTTTGTCATATTTAAAGTACACTTATAAAGTAATTGACTACCATTTTAACTGCTGTGTTTTTCAGCATTACATTTAAAGTTAATATATTTTACATGTACAAAATTTCAATCATTACAAATGTGTAATTACAAATATATTTCAATACATGACATAAAAGTTTCAATAGAAATTACATTAAATAATATTTTAGTTAATTATGAATGCTTGTCACTGCATTCAGCACTTCACTTGAACCATATTTCAATATCAATATTCAAGACAGTGGGTCAAAATCAGTCACAGCCATCATCCATTAACAGAAATATTTAAGAAAAAATTATTGAATTAAAATCACAAAAGCACAAATATATATGGGTTCGCATATAACTCTGTCTTCATTTGTATGTTAATCTATAAGAGTTTTGGCTGTTTAATATTAGAATTTTGTCAAAAATCCCCCAACATTGCGGTGAATCAGAGGTAAAAAACTAAATAAATACCGTTCAGTTTCTTGCACAGACCGATCGTTTCGTGTCTTTACACATCAATGTATCGTCACGAGCTGCAGGATTTAATTTGGTTTTGTTTGTGTATGTTTTTTTTTTACTCTCAAAGCCGTGATTCCCATTCACTTCCATTATATGACTGACAGACTGCAACGGTTTGAGTTAAAAATCTTGGATGCCCTGGGGGTAAGCAGATAAACATCAAATTTTCATTTTTGGGTGAACTATCCCTTTAAGGGTGTTCACACTTGGCAGGTTTGAATAAAACAAACTCTGGTGCGATCGCTCTGTTAGTGTGGTTTATTTGAATATGTTTGAACACTGTCATCTGAACCTTGGGCCACAGCAAACAAGGGGTCTCGGTCTGCTTCCAAGCAAACTCTGTTGTGGTTCGACTGAAATATGAACATAACATGGATCAAAAACTTAAACCAAAATCCATTGCAGTTTGGTAGAGGTGTCTGGACTGCCATCTCCTTATAGCAGATCTTCATTTGTGTGTGCAACACAGGAGTTCCTGGCGATGTTTTGACTCCTTTACAAATTTTTTATAAAAATTTCAAAGTTCTCAGCTGATAAAAATACCACTATATGTACACACATACAGCAAGTGCATTTATTACAACACACAGCATTATTTGGATGTTCAGTAAGTTCCGTAGCAGTCTGAATGAGGCAGTCTGGTCTGTCTGAATAAGCTACACAACTTTTGCCCAGATTTACAGTTTAGACGAGTCAATGCTTGTTTATGGGGGTAGAATTGTTGCATTATTCCAAATAAATAGATTATGATCCACAAATAAATGTAAAGAGATTTACAAAAAATGTAACATATTGACAAATAAATAGAACGAGATCCACAAATAAATCTCAGAGTTTCACAAACATTAATTAAATTCACAAATAAATAAAATGAGATTTGCAAATAAAAAACATATTCACAAATACATTTTTATGTCACAAACACAACTTTGCCTGCCATTCATTTGTGAATTGCGTCCTGTATACTTGTGGATCGCTCGCTGTGCATTTGTGGATTTTGAAACATTTCTAGGGACAATACGCTGACAATCCACAAATGAGTGGACTCCACCCACCGTCTACTCAAGCCAATCAGATAACAGCAACACTTCGCTGACCAATCGTGTTTTAATTTACTCCTATTTACATAATGCATGTTGATATACCGTTTACTGTTTGATGGAACCATCATTGTTGGTTAAACGAAGCCCAAGTTCCACCAAAAGGCTTATTATGTGAAGCGTAAGCAGTTCAAGTTCAAGGACTTTATTTTTACAACTATGCACACACACACATATATATATACTGAACAAAATTATAAACGCAACGCTTTTGTTTTTGCCCCCATTTTTCATGAGCTGAACTCAAAGATCTAAGACTTTTTCTATGTACACAAAAGGCCTATTTCTCTCAAATATTGTTCACAAATCTGTCTAAATCTGTGTTAGTGAGCACTTCTCCTTTGCCGTGATAATCCATCCACCTCACAGGTGTGGCATATCAAGATGCTGATTAGACAGCATGATTATTGCACAGGTGTGCCTTAGGCTGGCCACAATAAAAGGTCACTCTAAAATGTGCAGTTTTATCACACAGCACAATGCCACAGATGTCGCAAGTTTTGAGGTAGCGTGCGATTGGCATGCTGACTGCAGGAATGTCCACCAGAGCTGTTGCCCGTGAATTGAATGTTCATTTCTCTACCATAAGCCGTCTCCAAAGGCGTTTCAGAGAATTTGGCAGTACATCCAACCGGCCTCACAACCGCAGACCACATGTAACCACACCAGCCCA